GGGGGGACCCCGAGGGTCGCGCTGGGGGCAGGTGTCTGTCAGGAGCTCTCCTGCATTTCTGCCTGGTGGAAAGTAGGCGTGCGCGGTGCGGAGCCGAGCTTTGCCACATGGCGTTTCTTAGGTGAGTGTTTGATCCTCGAGCTGGTGAGTTTGCTTGGCTCGCTCGGGGTGGAAGAACTTGACAGATGCTAATGCGAAGGCGTCCGTCTAAAGACTATTTATAGGTTTGTGTCTTCACCCAGCCCTTCCGTGCAGGCAGTAACTGGTGGAAAGTAGGCGTGCGCGGTGCGGAGCCGAGCTTTGCCACATGGCGTTTCTTAGGTGAGTGTTTGATCCTCGAGCTGGTGAGTTTGCTTGGCTCGCTCGGGGTGGAAGAACTTGACAGATGCTAATGCGAAGGCGTCCGTCTAAAGACTATTTATAGGTTTGTGTCTTCACCCAGCCCTTCCGTGCAGGCAGTAAATTCTCTCAAGTGTTGTTACGGCATCACAGGTATTTTTCTCTTGACTCTTTTGATCTTGACTTAAAATGATGTCTCATATGAATGACCCTGAGCCCGTCTCCAATTAATGTTGAGAGGCAAAGAGAGAAATTAACCAAAACGTGAGCAAAGAGAAGGGTGTAAGTTGTAGCAAGAAGCTGCTTTTACTGAGATACTGGTCGGTTCTGCAAAGGAACTCACATTTGTGATACGAAAGTGGTTGCCCAAGTTACAGCTGTGCAATTGGACCTGTTTTTTCCCGTGGAAAATCAATAGAAGTGCAGATAACTTTCTCTTTTCTAGTAGTTATAGACTTGCTGTGCACAACTGTTTAGGTAGGGGTTCTTACCTTCAAAATGTTGTGTATGTGATAACACACCTTCCTTTTCTTATGCCGTGTCTTTATCACTGAGGAAACATCATCTTTGCCTTCCCTGCAATTATATTAGTCGTGAGTGTATTTTTTTTTTATTTTGTGTTAACCATGCAGCTTTTTAACTTGTGCAAAATATTTAAGTAATTGAAAGCGTGTGTGTGCATTTGCTTTTATAAAGTGCTCATATTGCAGTGCAATATTGCAATTGCAGCTTAGCTTACAGATGTCACGAGTGGCACAGGTGTCATTTGGAATCTTGGGCCAGCAAAACTGTTCTTTGTCCTCAAACTGGATGCTTTCGCCGTAGGTGGGCCAGGTCTGCCTGGTGCTGTATGGGTGCAGCGCAGACCCAGCGGCCTCGGGAGCTGACGGTGTGCGGCTCTGCTGCGTGCCTCGCTGCTGCTGGTGCTCCAGAATCAAAGCGGGTGCTGATACGGAAACGTGGATTTATGAGTTGACCTTCATTTTAGTATCACTTACTTCATAATCTTCTGGGACTAAAAATGTGCCAAGCAGCTAGTATGCTCGAATAAGCCAGCTAATACCTCTGCTCTGCCACGGGGAAGGCGGTTGTAGAGCATTTGTTAGACGCGTGCTGTGGTGACTTGATTTTTCGAAGAGGC